AAAATAGGGACAGATTGTAAGTGATTACCTTGGTGAGAGGGGTGGTGACATGAGCAAGAAGAGAAACTTTAGGGAACCGGTGGTCAGAACTGGTGGAGAGGAAGACTGCAGGACTGTGGCCTAAGTAAAGTATTGCTTTGTTATAAAGTTTTCTTCAACTCTTGTCGCTAAAGGCTGATAGCTGAACGATCCACTTGCTGTTGCATACTCAAAGTTTTCAACAGTTTTTCACACAGACTTGAGTGGCTGCTCATCCAAGACTCTGGGGCTTCCACCACGAACATAGAAAACAAAAGGGAACAGAGCGCCACCTCCGTGTGTAAAATCGTTTATTACAATAAATAAAACAAGGGATATATTTACTCACAAGCAAACGTTTTCATCACACTTTAAAGTAACATTAAACCCTCAGATTTTTTAACATAAAACAATACTGTAATGTGTGCCTTACTGTAATCCATGGTTGTTTCCCTTCTCTTTGATGCTCTTCCTTTTAAATCTGTATCTGTTCTCATGCTTGGAGAGAACTTCCCTTTTCAGCAGACTGCCTTGTCTCACACGGTGTCTGTGTATCCGTTTGTATAGGCTGTAACCTGAGCCAGCACTACAGGAAGAGGCCTTGAGCTGAAAAGGGAAGTTCTCTCCAAGCATGAGAAAAGATACAGATTTAAAAGGAAGAGCATCAAAGAAAAGGGAAACAACCATGGATTACAGTAAGGCACACATTACAGTATTGTTTTATGTAAAAAAATCTGAGGGTTTAATGTCACTTTAATCAAGATGATTCTGATGTAGGGGGCTTGCCCCTGAAACGCGTCAATCTTGGCTGACTGCAGCCGGTGGACGGTGATGTGACCAGAGGCAACCGTGGTACATAGTCGGGGCAATACCATGTTGGGTTAACAGACAGTGTGCCCCCCTTGTTTGTTGTTAAAGTGTGATGAAAACGTTTGCTTGCGAGTACTTTTATCCCTTGTTTTATTTATTTTAATCAACGATTTTACACACAGAGGTGGTGCTCTGTTCCCTTTTGATTCCTTTGTGATAGCCCACCCCCAACAAAAATGAGCAATATATTCTTCATGAGTTGGGGAAGTGGGGGTAAATGTTAAATATTTTATCACTGCTGGGAGTTAGGCCTTAAACATTCATTTCCTGCAAAAAAACAAAAACAATGTCTCATCAATGCGATACGTCTTCTTCTGAACCGAGCTTTTTGATGTAAAAAAACAATTATGAGATAAAATAACACAAAGGAACGGAAGCTAATGAATGTCTGTACCAAAACATCAGTCTGGGTTTATGATTCATACCAGTATTTGCCGTACATCCAGTGGCCTCCATATGCCAGCAGGCAAAATCCCACCGTACTTTTCTTCCAGTGGTTGCGCAACGTCTTAAAGATACGAACCACCCTCGACATGGCTGTGACCACACTGTACAGAGACAAAGCACAAGCAAGTTCAGTTTCATGACCACAGCATTTAGAGGCTCAGTCCACCCAAGATGCTGAAGAGTTAAACCAGCTGACAGTCTCTTCTATCTCCCAGGGAATCTATTTATTTGATTATTTGATTTCTGCACATTCATTATGGCTATTGCAGAATTCATTTCAATAGGAATTAGGGCTGTGCAAATTAACGATTAATTTCTCGATTAATCGTTAATCTTTTTGATCGATTAATTTTTTTTTGAAACTCTCTGCAGGAGCGCCAGCCAAGGCATTGGCCTATACACATACAGCACAGCAATGAAGTCATACAATGAACTAGGATCACACTAATCCAGCACGTTATTATTCTGAGTTGCCCCACTCAAGCGGCGGCCATATTGAGTGGGGCACGTGAGATTAATAACGTGCTGGATTAGTGTGATCCTAGTCAATTTTATTACTTCATTGCTGTGCTTTATGTGTATAGGCCAATGTAGTTGGATCTGTATGTGCATTATAATTAATCGAAATTAATCAATTAATCGATTAAAAAAAATTTCGATTAATCGAACACAAAAATTTGAATCATTACCAGCCCTAATAGGAATGCACCCCTGACATTTCCCTTTTGAAAAAAAAGAGATTGAAGACACCGAGTCCTAAATCTCTCTTTCTGCAGCCCCAGTTATGAAGGAAAAGGAAGCCTCTATACTGAGTGTTCCTGTCCATTCATAAACTGTGGAGATAGTATGAGTTACTATGTCCACAATCATATATGGACAGGACGTGATGTAGAGCACTTCCTGTTCATTCACAACTGGGGTCACAGTAAGCACTATGTCCTCAGTTATTTACAAACATCAGTGTTTAGAACTGATCACACGGATGTTTGAGCAGTACATTGAAGGATCACATATTTGCTGATCCTCCCCACTCTCCATCCTGAACCTTTTCGCCCCTCCTGCAGCTCTCCTCCCCGTTGTCACTGTCAGTCCTGACAGCTTCTCTATTTCCCTGCTCGGTCGGCCCTCTATCTCCTCTGATCCCCACTGCCTCTGCCGATACAAGTGGGGAGAGCAGCGGGGATCGGAGGGGACGCAGACCGAAGCTTGAAACCGTCACCCAGCGGGAAGGAGAGAAGCTTAGGACGCACCACATTTTCTCCCTTTTTTTTTACCATCGGCATTTTGCCCATAGTACCATTTTCAGCCGAAATTTCGGTGCATCTCCACATTTCTACGAAGGTTTTTATGTCCGGACGAGTTCCCCTTAAAGAGCAGCTCATCACTATACTGCTAATGCTGTCCAGGAAACATTGTCGCTATGCATTTTGAAAGTCAATTTTTCTTTAAACAGCAACTCCAACAATATGACCTACATAACTGCAGCTCAAGCTATTCCAGCAAGCTACGATTTTCTAATACTGGCAAAATATCACATTCCCTGCTTGTGTGATTGGCTCACTGCCTTTCCCCAAATATTCTGTAATCTTCATTTGCTACAACACAGTAATTAGAGAAAAAAAGCCATTATAAAATATTTAAGAATGCCACAGTTGGGATCCAAGATTAATGCTGAGCTCCAGGCAAATATAAAAACGTAATTTGAATTGTAAAGTTTTGTTTAATTTTGGATCGAGTTGGGGAGGGTTAGAACCCCTGTCAGTTTTTTTTAATGGCTGTTTGTTTTCCCATCGGGGAGATTAAGCTGCTCCGTTTGTCCTGTGAACATTGTCACTGGTGCAGAAAGTGATGGGAAATCCAAAAATGTTACAGTTGTCACAAGAACAGGTTAGAGGCGAAATCATCCAATGGGGACACCTATTCTGGTGACAAATGTCTAAAAGATGATTTCCTTCACCTTTTATTTCATGTTACGTCTCTTGGACAGGAAGTGAAGGTAAATCTCCCCAACGGCCAAGTGCCGGTGTTCTGTTGAAATGGCCAACTCATCGAGATCTCCAACTTGTAACGTCACATCCGTTGGAGATTTCGATCAATTGGCCCTAGTGCGCGTACGCCAGTCCTGGCATTTTTACAAGCCTTGTCGACTTGCCAAATTGACCTAAGTGCACCTGTGCGGCCTCGCAATCCTCATCGAGTTCTCCAACTGGAATCACTGCTTGTGCCATCGGAAATTAGGGAACGTGATACTGCTCTTAGGTGGGCGCGCAGGCGCACTGACGGGAGTTGGAGATCTTGACAAGTTGGACATCTCGATAGAACACCGGTTTTACATAAACTTTAATGAATTTATGTCTTTATATAAAAATGTCATTATTTTCATCTGCACCAGGGTAAGTACCAGCATCTGTCTTGCTATCAGCCTCTGTTATTGCCTGCACAGAGCCTTTTAGACTTCAGAGAGGGAAAGAACACTCTAGGAGCCAATACGTTGCAGTCACATGTGCTGAAAGTAAAACACTGCTCCTACCTCCGGTCAGCATGTTTACTTGTGCACTATAGCAAAGGCTGATTCTGCATTCATTGCTGTATAATTTTACACTTTTCCTTTCACTATATTGCACACCACACTTTTGTTTTCTTTTTTACTTCCACCGCTCCAAGCTTGCTCCTGTGATGGACTACACTCAATACAAACTAGTAGTCCATCACTGGAGCCATTTTTTAAAATGTATTTTACTTTTTATATGATTAACCGATTAATCGTACTTAATAATTGGCTAACTAATCGATTTTGAAAATAATCGTTAGCTGCAGCTCTAGTCTTTCATATCTGCCCTCAGTTCTGCTTTAATGCGGGACTTGTGTTGTGTTATCAGGAGTCAGCTGTCAGTGAATACACTACAAGCTGGTTATCTGTGCAGCGAGATCGAGCCAAGGCTCATCGAGGACATTAAAGGACAGTAACATAGTCTCTGCTTATATCGCTTCATGTCACTGCGCTGCCTAACTATGCACGATAGACAAAATCAATGTAAACAGCTTATACACCTGGGTGCTTCATACCAACATGGGCACTGATGTGACCAGGAGAAGAATGTCAGCAATGACAGGACTGCAAGTAGGTAGATCTGCTTTGCTGGCATTTAACAGTCATCTGTACAGCTTAGAGGTACTTCTAAAGTTTTAGAGGGGCACCTCTGCTTGTTGAAGTGAACCTGTCACCAAACAGTTTAAAATAACTCTACATTTGCGACATTCTTGATATTGTAAGACAAAGAAGTATAACAAACAGTGTAAATACAACTATTATGTAATTTGGGAAGTCTGCAAATACATTTTTATTAGAAATGTTTAAATTGTGCTTGATGACCCAGGTGTCATTCCTATTGGTCTATGGTTAGTTGTGAAATGGTCACATAGATACAGCCTAAAGGTAATACCACACAGGTGATTCGGCTGCTGTGGACACACTTTTTTTGGTTAAGCTGATAGTCAGGACAGCATAATAATCAGTTTTGTTAATGGCATTTATTACTCACTGCTGATTGAAGCACTGTACAGGGGGAGTGCCAAAGATCTGAATCACTATGCTGTGTTTGAGAGCAGCGGTCTGACTCTCCAGCGTGCTGCTAGCACAAGGTACTGTAACTCTTGCTGCCAGACCAGAGGGCGTGGCTATGGTGCCATTCACTTCACTGGACCTCCATGCCCCCTCCTGCCCCACATCATAGTGAGCCGGCCGCAATGCAATGCGTTCTGGCCAGAATCAGGCCGGAACGCACTGTGTCTAGTGTGAACGAGGCCTCATGTAATGAAAAAAAAAAATCACATAAATCACAGCTTATCAGCATATTTATTACTCAGGTAAACTGAGCACTGCTGATTGGAGCACTGTGCAGGGCGAAGTGCCGAAGACCTGAGTCACTACGCTGTGTGTGAGAGCAGCGGTCCGACTCTCCACCATGTTGCTAGCACGGGTATTTTAAGTCTTTCTGCAGGGCTTAATAATTTTTTAAAAACACAGATAGAAGAATGTATTAATTACTGTATATGCAGCCTGACTGCATTAATATGATAAATGCGGAAGATTCAAGTAGAACTCTGGGCAAAACTTTTATGACCCCTTGAAGTGGGGCTACCCCCCTGCAATTGGTTAACTGCTCGTTTTTGTCTTGATGCTAAAAAGAGTTACACTCGCCTGAGCTGCTGAGCTGGCTCCCTACTTCTCTGGTTTCTGAATCCTGTCTCCTTCTACACTGCAGCATTGGAATGTTTCTCAGTGCATACACATTGTATAAAGTTTGATGATTTAGCCCGCTGCAGTGGAGAGTGAGAGAGCCCAGAAGGACCGGCCTAAGAACAAGCTGGCTCTGCGTTTCAGGTGAGTGTATATATATAT